CAAACTGTAGAGTTAGGGCTGCGTTTGTAACGGCAGGGTCATGGGTTCGACTCCCAGGGAAACTGATAAAATGTGCACCAAGAACACAATGGATGAAAGCGTCTGCCAAATGCATAAACATAAATGTAGCTGATTGAGTCCCTGCATTACTAACCGGTGGTGACTCTGTCTGTCAGGTGCGGTGCACGGCGGCTTCAGACCCGGCGGGGCGTTTAAAGAGGAACCCTGTCAGAACCGCAGCAGCAGAGGGCGAGAGGACGAGCGGGTCAGACGGCATCAGGAGCTCCAGGGATTCGGCCAGCAGCCGCTGCTGGAGATGCAGAGACACAGGCTGTGTGTTACGAACACACCGTACGAGGACCGGAACCCCAGACTCTCGGAGCAGAACCACACGGAGGAGAAGAGGCTGCCGGGGGCACAGAGCCCTTACGTCTCTCTCAACCTCCACCACGTCTGGGCCAAACATGTCCCATCAGGACCCTACGCTCTCAGCCGCTTAACGGACGCTTACCGGGGCGAGGAGGTGAACCCATACCTGTACCGGACCCAAAGCCCCACGGCCGACGCACACCGCGGCGCTCCTCATTACATCGGCACGTCTGTCATCATCAGCAACGAGAGGTGACCCGCTCAGAACCGCTCGCCTGTCCCGGCCGCTTCTACTGCTTATGCAGAACTACAGACCTTGTGTTCACACACACAGCAGCGTCGCCTGAAGGAGAGTCAGGAAAATCTGTTTCAGCGCGATGAGCAGCCGGGATACTACAGCCAGGAGAGAACGCGTTTCGGGCATTCAGGGTCTCCACATGAACCTTACATTTGCTGCACATTATTGTTCACTAAACTCAGATATGCAAGACATAACCATCCACGTGTTTTTGTGCCAACATTTACAAAATTAAAATATTTAATCTAATTTAGCCATAGCAAAAAGAAAGCAAATGTTTCAGCAGAGGATTTCTGTAAAGATATAAGCACTTAAAGCTGCAGTATGCGATTTCTGAGAAACGCTGTTGAAAGTGGATCGGACAGAGCACCAAAACACAATCGTAGCCAATCAGCAGTAAGGGGCGTGTCCACTCATGCTGGGGGAGGTGCATAGTATGCTTGTGAATTTGGGGGCGGAGCTATCAGTGTAGGGGTGTTTGTTTTGGTGATTTCAAATATCAACAGCGTTTCTCAGAAATCACTGTGTGTGTTCGACGTCAAGCAGAGCCATGCAGACCGAACAGTGTATGACGTCAAAGTACCGTGAAAGCGATTACGGTACATACACACGTGTCTGAAGCCATCGTCATAGTGACAACAGCCATTCACATTACTTTTCCGGTGTTCCATGAACGCCATTGGCTAGTGTCTGCTCTAGAGTATTCGCATAGGCGATCTGATTGGCCGACGCCTGCGTTGGTGCTTAAAGTTGACAATTTTTCAACTTCTGCCACAAGCAACGCCAGTGACGCGACGCAACGGATCCACAATTCAGTTCGGCAACGCATAACATCACATCAGCCGCTTCAAGCCGAACACACCCGCTTGCTGCACCTTTTAATGGAAAAGTGTAAATTCTATGAGACCCAACTGAATTACACCCCGCACACCTGCCATTGGTCAGTCAGACAGATAGTCCCGCCCCAGACGCTGTGATTGGTTGAGTCAGAAGGTCAATGTTCTGATCAGCTTCACTCTTCAAACTTACAGTGAATCTGAACAAGACATCTCACACTTCAGCTTTAAATGAGCACCTTCTGAAAACTGTCTGCATGAGCGGGAATGACACTGATTGAACTGCAAAATGATTTCTATGAACAATTTTGGAAAACGACCATTTAAAGGGTGCTGGTCCAGTTTTCTGTTGTTTAACAACCAATCCTAACCAGTCACTCTTGTGTCCAACATCCTGGTATTTAGCTGCTATAATGGGCATATTTATATTGGTCGACCATTGTGCAGCTCGATTATTTATGGTGCAAACCAAGAGTCTAACATATGCAGCAGGTGTTACTAAAACGACTGGAGGTAGTTTGCTTAGAATCTCAATAAACATGAGGTGACACACGTGAGCGTGTTGTGTGTGTCTCATTCTGACGGTTTTCCAGGCCGCCAGAGACTGTTATTAACACTATTATTAGTGCAGGGACTTTCATCTCCGACTCCATCTGAGAAAAGCTCTGAGGCACATCTAATACTGCTCCTGCAGAGGGTTCATACTCGCTCTGTTTGTTTGTTGATGAAGACTGCCAGCGGGCTGGTATTATGCAGCCAGTATTATAGATGCTAGATTTGGTTTGACCTTCAGGACCCTGCAGCTGAAATGGTTTAACAGGATATTGTGGATGTGGCGTTTATGGATCTGAGGTGAGCTATTTGCGTAACGATTTCTAAAGGTTGAGCGCGCGTTTACTCAGCGTCATCAGTTTAAAAACGCTTTTATGGATAACTGCGTCCAGCCGAGCACTGGACACCTGAAGAACCGTAGCAGTGATTTAATAAGACCGATCGCTGCGAATGTGATGAATGTGAGAAAGTGGGAGGCGATGAATGGGTTTGTAATGAGGTGAAAGATCTCAGAGCATTTAGCGACGCTCAGAGGAATATTTTCACTTCATCAAGACGAGCCTGAAGCAGGAGGCGCAGATGACAGATGAGCTGCTGCTTATGGAGGACGCATGAACATGACACTGCCAGGAACCCAACACACACACACACACACACGCACTCGCACACGCACTCGCACTCGCACTCTCACTCTCACTCACACACACACACACACACTCTCACTCACAGACACACACTCTCTCACACACACTCTCACTCACAGACACACACTCTCTCTCTCTCTCTCTCTCACACACACACACACTCTCACACACACACACACACAC